GGAGAGGACATCACCTTCCAAGCTTTTCATTGGCCATGGGCCTCCCTTCACAGTCACACCCGCCGCCGAGAGGTTCATGACCCACTTGGGCACACGGCGAAGGCCTAACCTCAAGTTGACAAATTGGAAGTCCACAATACTCAATGAGCATTAGATACATAGTGTTACTCATTGTTACTCATTCAACTCAAGACGTGACACTTACTTGCTCTTACAAGACACATTCAGGGAGCCACGGTGTTTACCTTCTCTCTCGCAGAGCAGCTCAACTAGGCCCTCCCTACTGGTAGCAAAAGTCATCGGAGAAGTGGGTGCAGTTCCGCTTGAGGAGGTCGTAGTCCGGCCTCATGCCGATGAAGACAGCAGCGTCCTTTGTCTCACCCCTATCTGACCACCCCCGTCGGACAAAATCGAGGGCACCGAAGTGGTCTCCACTCCGGTCGGGCTGCTTGCGAGCCGCCCACGCCAGTCCAGCTTCATGGCATCAATGATCTCATGGACCTCCTCCTCCGTGCGTCCTCAAGATGAGATGGTTCTCATCAGCCAGCATCTCAAAGCCACTGTCTCAACTCTCTGAATGCCTCAAGCCCCGAGTCTTTCAACAAAACTGTCAAACAAGATCTCACAACCCCTGCCGAGGAGCTGGTGTGGCCCATGGGCACGGACTCTCGGAAGTGATGTGCCTGGAAAGCAGTCACATCACAGGGCCAGAGTCGAGGAGGAGAAGCATATGTCATATGCTTTCATTCAGGATTGGTCAGCCCATGGGCTGTGAAGCCCACCAACAACGGGAAGTCAAGACATTTAGTAATGAGAAACCTGGACTTTCTGGGCTCTGTAAGCATCGTATCACCTGTAGGAGGGTCCCACCACCAACTCCCCGATCTCTTCTGCACCTTGCAACTCCGAGGTTGACAACTGAAGACCCCGGAGCCTCACGACAAACGAGAGAAGCAAACAGGAATGCTCTCACCAACAAACTCGCTATGTATTAGGTTGGAGGCCATCGCAATTAGGTTGGAGGCCATCGCTATTAGGTTGGAGGCCATCACTATTAGGTTGGAGGCCATTGCTATTATTATGTTGAAGGCCATCGCTATTTGGTTGGCGGCCATTGCTATTAAAGGGTTTGAGTATTAGGTGGCTTTGCTTTTATAAGTGTGTGAATTTGTTTAAACAATGCTTTCGCCTGTGTGTCTTGGGCACTGCCTTGGACACATTGCATTGGCCGGGCAGTTTTTTGTGCAGGGCGCAGCGGCGTCATTTGCCAGCAGCAGGCAAGCGTCAGCTATATATATATATATAGGCTTTACAGCATCACAGGTCCGTAAGCAACGCCAAAATGAAAACGTAACACAGTCGCCTTTGGATTTCCCATAGCTCCACTCCAAGCCATAGACCTTAGGTCCAAGCATTGACACAAAGCTGACCCGGGCATGCCTTTGACAACGGCCAGGCTGGTAGCCCGACAACCCCAAGACACAAGACTCACATGAGTGTTGAAAACAATTCATTCCATCAGATGCTCAGGACCCCGCTTCCACTGCAGCATGAAAAATGCCAGTTCCCAACTTATGGAGAATATCATTGGCCTCTGGGACCGGCTCTGCTCTGCGCCAACAAAGGGCAGTAAGCAAAAGGAAATAAGATGGAGCCCACGAACCCCAATGCAAACACATATGTCAAACCACTGTGTATAGAAAGAGACACAGCCGGTTAGATTATCTTTTTCACATTCCGGTACGCTGTTGGACATCATGCGCTGGGGACCCCACCACCAAGGCAGCATGTGCTGGGGACTTCACCACCAAGCTCGGTCTTCGTCATGAAGGGTGTTCGTTTTGCATTCAAATCAAGCACTGGCGTAAAGGTTCTGGCAGATCCACATCACGAAAGAAACAATGGCATTGTCCCAAAATCTCGAAGGACGCTCTTGTGGGACACTCTTGTGGGACACTCTGACACTCTTGTAGGACACTCTGGTGGGACACTCTGGTGGGACACTCTTGCGGGACACTCTTGTAGGAAACTCTTGTGGGACACTCTTGTGGGACACTCTTGTGGGACACTCTTGTAGGAAACTCTTGT